TTATATGCTCTTATGTCGTGTCTCGTGGTTTTAAGCTGAAGTTAAACTATTTTTGAAATCATAACATAAAACATAAGATTTGGTGCTCTGTGTTGTATTCAATCATCAGCCTCACAGCGTCATCCCTTAGAACAATCGGTATAAGTAATAATAAGTAATAACAATCAAATTACTCAGTAAACTTTATATGTACCTGTTCTAATTTCGACAGTAGTTCGACCTATATTGAGAAAATTCAGTGTTTCAACGAATGACGTTAAGAAATTAGTATAAACAATTTTGGTCAGGGGTCCAAAAATGAGTCCAAGTTTAGGAAAAAACTTGTAAAATTGTAAAAAAATATTTTCTGGGAAAACCTAGAAACATTTTCCAAATTTTCCGATTGGCTCATCACAGGGACAGATCAAGATTCTACTGAATATTTTTCTACTTTTGCCTTGTGACATGTACTCTTAAAATACAAGTACTATACTCGGAGTACTTTGCAATTAGTAGAGTACTTGCTACTTCTTTAGGAATTAATCAAAGTACTTTGTACTCAGTACTCGAATACATTTTACTTGTACTTGACCCAGCTCTGCTCATTAGTTGTTTATTGTTTAAAGTTTATTCATAAAACTATCGCTTAAACACAAGCTAAATGGGCGTTTATGTAAAACTCATCAAATTTCCATTATATGTATTACAATATAGCATTACAAGTGATTTAGAAAATCCTACCATGCAGGGCCATCGAAACGGAAGTATTTGATTGGCTTACAGCATAGTTTTATAAATTCGTTACAAAATATGTATTAAATTCCGTGTTAACTAGAAGATTAGTGTTGGCGTGCACTCAATAATAAATCAATAGAGCTTTTGCAAAATAATAATTTTTACATATCGAAATCGTAATTAACGGATTTATATGGGGCTTTTGCATTGTTCCTGATACCTCGTAAATATTAAATGCAATTCAGTTTAAATAACGTGATATTTGGCAATTAGTCGGACTGCAGTCGCATGCGTATACATTTATTTGAAATGTATTTTTTTGGTCGGTTGCGTTTTAATATCAAATTTGTGTTGCACCACTTTTTACATGCAATGCTGGCAATGTATTATATACCAGATTGAGTTTGCAAGAGAAAACATTTTTTATTTTTAATTTTAAGATAGAACGTCTTGATGGTCGAAAAATAATATTGACATGAAAAATTTAAGGTTTTATTTACAGGAAATTCAAAAATTAGGAAAACAAAAAATGTTTTCAAGAGAGAAGTAACTTTATTTTTAATTTTTTTGAAATGCGAAAATTTCTTCCAAAAATAAGGTTAAAAATAAAAAAAACATTATGAATATCAGCCTTTTATCCCGAGTATAGTTGAAGATATTCCCCACTTTTTTTATCATAAAATTACTCCCTTCAGAGGGGTTGAATATTTCATAAATTCATTTCTCTCTTTCTTGAGATATTAAAAATTTAAAAATAGTTTAGTTGTCAGCCGTCTACTAAATATCTAGAGAATTTGATAATACATCTCCAACCCTTTTTTGAAAACCACCTCTCTGCAGGGATAAATATTTAAAATATCTTTGTTACTTTGTATAAAAAAATTTCTCATGTATATGTTTCCGGCTGTATATTTAATATAAAGCAATATACAATATTGTGTTGATACATATGTACATAAATATAACCTTGGGGTGTGATAAGTTGTAAATAACTTTGTCATATGGGTTCAATGTACACAACCAAAGTTTAACAAGAAGAAATAAATAACTTAATAAAAATCATGCCTCGACGAATTCGTGCTTGCATTGAGGCTAGAGGTGGAAACATTGATTCTTAAATTAACAAAAACCTATTATTTCTTCCTAAATTCTAATTTATTGTAAAGTTTATTTTCAGAGAAATTCAAATTTTTGTAATCAGATTCTGTACTCTAGAATATTTGTTTGTTGATAAAATTTAAGATTTAACAATGTTTTTCACCCCTAGAAAAAAATTGTGACCTGATGGACCAACTCTGTTAAACACACTGTAGTTAAAATCTTTAATTTTACTATGTGAATATTATTTATTTGACATTTAATCAAGAATTACTTTTTTTGAAATAGAAATACTTATTTATGTTATAAGGCTATGAAGTAAGTCTTTTTGTGCTCAAAGCTCAAAGTTTTGTGCTCAAATGCCAAAGCGTAGCGGAGGCCTACAATTGAGCGAAGCACAAAAAAACTTCTCAGCCGCATGAAATACAACATTTTATCTTCAAGGTCTAATTTTATTGGTTAAACAATACATAAAACGTGAAGTATTATAAGTAGAAAGTAAGATTAGATTAGATCTAACAATAGTCGAGTTTTTGATTGGTCCAAACCGGTTTTTACAGACTAGAAGGTAGAAAACTTTACCCTATGGTTTAAATTATTTTTACAGCCTAGGAGGTTTTTTAATTAAAGATAAAATAAACATTATAATTTTTGTCGTAATTTTTCTATTTACAAAGAGAAAAAGCTTTTATATTGTGAATGGGTTAACCATTGAGCCAATGGTGTACTGTATTTGCAATACCTGAATTACAGCTATGATCAAATGAAAGATTGTCTTACTTTTATTTGTGCTAACCTGCTTAAAATTAGTTCAAACATAAGAAATCATTGAATGAAATTGTGATTTTATTAAAACATAAGAAATTATTGAATTAAATTATTATTTAATTGAAGCCACAATGAATCTTAATAAAAAACTATCATTGGCATAAATAAAGTTATGGTTTCTAATGGCTACATTAAATGCAATCAAATCTCTTTTTCCTTTAAATATGTATATTCTTGTGCAAATATTAGTTGTATAATACATTAATATGAACTTTAAATAAAATTAATTCTTGAAACTGCTTCTGGTAGTCTTGTGTACACAGGTTTTTCGATCCATAAAATGAAATTGTTCTGTTTTCTGTAGGAACTATTAGGAACCCACTAGAAGTGTTGGTGATATTAGGCTCTAAGAAAGTTTCTGACCCATCACTAGCAACAGTTACTGTACTGGATGTTCAGGATCTCTCTGTCATGGCACATGGTTATTCTAAAACGAAATAGGAATTCCATCTTATGTATCCTAAAGATTGCTGAAAGTCCTAAAGCAATATATACCTACACAGTAAAAGATTTTGCCCGTGTAAATTTTTTAGTGTAGGGGTTCAAATTTTAGAGTTGATTTGTAAGTGTAAATGTTACATTACAAAATAAAGTAGGTAGCATTTAGTGCTTATTAACTTTATTAAACACATTTAAAGAATATGAACATTATTCATTGGTACATTCACACTATTTATTATTAAAATAAATCAAAAGTGTAGAAAAACCTAATACGAGTGTTTATTACCCCTTAATGTGTTAAATAGTGACAAAATGTACACTACAGTGCATGCCAATTTCTTTGTCTGTTTTGATGTTACTAAGAGCTACTAGTGCACATTGTATCACAATTAAAGTTAAATTACACCAATAGTGGCAAAATAGACTGAAAAAACAGGTAATAACCGAAATGCGTTTTAAAATGTTTGGTTGGTACCTATCTACCTACGCAGTGCATATCCGGAGATACCGCGTTGTGGAATTGTGACATTTTTGTTCAGTAAGATTTTAATTACGGTGAATCCATAAGAGGACATTCTTATTTTTTGGTAAGTATTAGGTATACTTCCTTTTTCTTTAAGCCTTAATACTCAATAAATACCAATATGTTAAAAGGATGTCCATACCCGACCTATATTATATATCAATAATTTACGGCAGTAGGTCGGGTACCTGTAACATTAATAATATAAATACATACACACTTGATTTACTTTTCAAGCATAATGGTTGTTATATTAACCTATACCTACATTTTTATTAATATTATGGAAAATTTGTACACATGTGGTAAATCCCCGACATACAGCCGCCTGACGCCTCTCTACCAATGGGATCACCCATTTTTATTACTGATGAATTCTCAAGATAATTTATTGCTAACAAGTAGACAGCCAGTAAATTGCATTGAAAACTTTTACGTTTTAAGGAATCATTTTGCTTAAGCCAGCCATACGACTCAAATATAAAATTATATTTTAAAAGGCACCGATTTTAATAATTGTCATAGATTTTTGTTCCAAATAAATGTTTCTCTTTATTTACCTTTTCGTTTTATTCACTACCACCAATCGGTTTTACTCAAATAATAGTGTTAATTTACACTAGAAGTTTGCACTAAAAGAGTAAAAGTACCTTTCTAAAATTGTAACTTTTAGTAGTGTTAATTTACACTGAACAAAAGTGGGATTTTACCCAGGAAGTGTAGAAGTACACGATTTTAGGTAAATTAACACTTTTTAATACAGTGTAAAATTACTTTATCCTCAGTGCTATAGTGTTAAATTATACTTGCTTACTTGGGGAAAATTACACTACAAATTAACTCTAATTGTAGTGTTATAAAACAACACTATTTAGTGTGGACCTGTGTGAACTCTAATTAGTGTTGCTTATATAGAGTTGATTTTTAGTAATTTTAACTTGATAATATTTTGTTATGGGCTGAATATAATATTTGTAATAACATCAATCCCTTACCCTCAATTGCTCCAAACATATTTAATTGAATAAACTTTAACTTTTATTGGAGAAATGAAAACACAATCAATTATAGCATTGTTATTGACTATATCAAAGCGTTTTTTCTGTGTAGACTTCGTTTTCAATTAAAAACAACTTTTTGTTGTAAACATGTTTATTTTTTGATGTTGCTGATACACACCCTTTAGATAAAACCCCATTTTTATGTTAAGGTTAAACACGTTTCCCTCTTATAAACCCAACCCAGGGAAATACTAAATATTAAAAGAATACATTACACAGTACAAAAAACTTGATGCAACTTTTTTTAATATTTAAACTTTTCATAAAATTTATAATTTAAAAGTTAAAAATTTAAGGCACCTAAGTAATTTAAATCTGATTTTTGATTTTTTCAGGTTCATCCGCTATAGACTGTAGGTCCATGGAAACATCGACAAATGGTAACAGTAAGTTAAAATAAATTTTTTATCTTCACAGTAAAAAAATATTTATTAATTTTGTAATCTGTTAACTTAGTAAATAAGTAGTTTGTATTTATTACAATCATTTTGTAGATTTAATAAAAAAATTCGGTGTCAATAATTCAACCATAATTCTTGTAAATTTCAAAACGGACCTTATTCTTACAAACTTTATTTTAGACCCAGTAACAAAAAATGTTTGATAAGAAATGTTGCTTTGTTAATCAATTTCCTAAACAAACAAAAATAAAGACAAAATTAACTTAAAAATAAATAACACACCATTCTGAAATCATCAGGTTATACAGTGTGTCCTGAAATTAGTGCACCATACTTTAACAGCAGATTGTACGTGCAAAAATAAGAAAAAAAGTCCCTATAAACATAGGTCAAGAAATGCCTCCTAAGGGAGCTACAGCCCCCAAAAGGAAAGCCCCTGAAGATGGCTTTTATTTAATATCTCCAAAACCGTTAAAGATATAAAAGTGAAATTTGGGGAATTAATTAAACTTTTTATGACCAATAGGACGTAACAATAACAATTTAAAATTTTTTATGAGGTTTGGGTCAGATTGATAGGAAGTAGGGTTAAAACCACCTTAACTTTTTTTTTACGTATCTTGTACCAGAATTTGGTGTCAGATTATGAAATTTTAGAGTTTTGCACATAAAAAAGGTCATCTTGTTGAACTTCGATAACATACACCGTTTTCGCATAAAATAGATTTGAAAATTATTTTACATGGCATAAAAATTCACAATTAAATCACAACCATAGAAATGGACTCGCGTGGTCCTTGGAATACGGCTGCCATGTTTAGGAAAAAATAGAATAATTCAAGACAGGTGACAGTTTCATGTAGTAAGTGACAGGGTGTTTCTACTTTTTTATTTATATTAGATAAAAACCATCTTCAGGGGCTCCCTTTTCGGGGGCTGTAGTTCCCTTAGGAGGCATTTCTCGACCTATATTTATAGGGACTTTTTTCTTATTTTTGCACGTAGAATCTGCTGTTAAAGTATGGTGCACTAATTTCGGAACACCCTGTATAGAAATTTAGTACAATATCAGTACTACTACTACACAGTAAAAAAATATTTGTTAAATTTAACCAAATAATAACCAGATTTTATGTTAATCCATGAACACATAACTTTTTGTTAAGTTTACAACCAAATGTAATCTGTTAACTAATTGAATAAGTAGTTTGTAATTATTACTGACATTTTGTAGATTTAATAACAAAATTCCATGTCAATTTCAACCATAATTCTTGTATTTTTTACAAACTTTTATGTAGACCCAGTATCAAAAGTATTTGTCGTAAATTGGGAACTTTAAAAAAGAGAATTTGTTATAAGAAATGTTGCTTTATTAAACAATTTTCTAAATAAAACATAATTAACACATACCCAAAGATAATACACATAATCTTTGCACATACCTACATAAATTAACACAAAAATAACATACACGAAATTACATAACACACCATTCTGAAATCATCAGATTATTTAGAAATTTGGTACAATATAACTATCAGTACTACTAAAACACTGATTTACTTTAATTTCACTATATCGCCTAATTTTAATTTAAAAACCAATAATGACATTATAAACACTCCTGTCACCGTTAAATATTATAAACACACGTTCACAGATCATACTCGTTGACTCTGACACAACTTGTTGATAAGTGTGTTGGAAATGTTTTGATTGGCTGCCTAAAATCACGTGTACTTTTTCAACGGAATAATTTGTTAAACATTAACAAAATAATCTGTAACCTTTGAAATTAACAAAATGCTTACAAAATTGCATTTTACCTTTACAAAACTTTCGGTAAAATATTTTCCTTTGTTAATATAATTACAAATCCAGGTTGTCTACAAAAAAATTTGTAAAAATTATACAAAATAAAATTAACTAACTACAAACTCATGTTAACAAACCTTATTTTTATAACAGTGAACAACACTTACTGAAGTGCTTTTAATCCAATTCACTGTAACCCCTAATTTGAGTTTGTTGGCATTTTATTTTGAATACTTCGCACTTTGCATACTTATAACGAGTATGCAAAGAGCGAAGTCTTCAAAATAAAATGCCATAATAGGTATAAGGAATCCGAATAACAATAATTACAGATTTCTGCTAATAAATGATAAACGTTTTAGTATTATGTTATAAAGACTCCAGTTATTACGAACACGTTATGAATCAGAATAAAGTAAGCAGAATAATAATAAGTTGCAAACGCTGAAATCAGTTAAACTGTGTATTGTTGTGCTGAAGCAGGATGGTTGACGATAAAAAATCAGTGGGAAATGTTTTGATTGGCTGCCTGAAATCACGTGTACCTTAGGGTGGTCGTTAAAAATTAAATTTTTTGTAACGCCCCCTAAAAAGCTTCGTTTTGATGAAAAAACACTGGAATTTTTCTTAATTAAAAACAACACGTGCCTCAAGACGATCTAAGTTAATTTTTTGGTATAATCATGTCTTTTCTGAAAATATGGAATAATAATTTTTTTGAGATTTAAAAATTATTAACAATGAAATACTTTCACCTTGGAGTGAAGAAATCTAGATATTAAAATTACGTTTGTACTAATTTAGTTATAAAATAAAAATCAATTCGAATATCTTTTTCATATATATATATATATATATAATTTTTTTATTTAATTGACCAAATCAACTGGGACAAATTTTGAATTTAAATTTTTGTCTATTATTATTTTGATGAACTATTATTTTTTTTATTCATTTGGGTTTTATAATTGTTTATATTTCGAATAAAATTTTTCATAAATTCCCAAAAAAACATGATTATACCAAAAAATTAACTTAGATCGTCTTGAGGCACGTGTTGTTTTTAATTTAAAAAAAAAATCCAGCGTTTTTTCATCCAAAAGAAGCGGGGCGCGCCCCTTAAAAAGCGACGGCCGGGCGTCGCAAAAAATTTAATTTTTAATGACCACCCTAGTGTACCTACTTTTTAAACGAAATAATTTGCTAAACATTATCAAAATAATCTGTAACTTATAAAAATCTTTTCTCTAGAAAATTTTTGTAATTAATTTTTCTTTATTTTTTTAATAAAATTAATTCAAAATCACTCAAGTTAAAAATTTAAGTTTATTTAAATCTGATTTTTTCAGGTTCATCCACTATAGACAAAGAATCCATGGAAACATCGTCAAATGTTAGCAGTAAGTTAATTTAAAATTTCTCTAAACACAAAAATATTTATTAATTTCGTAATCTGTTAACTAAGTAAAAAAGTATTTTGTAATTATTACAAACATTTTGTAGATTTAATAACAAAATTCCATGTCAATAATTCAACCATATTCTTGTAAATTTCAAAACGGACCTTATTCTTACAAACATTTTTGTAGACTCAGTAGCAAAGTGTTGTAAATTGGGAACTTAAAAAAAGAATTTTTACAAGAAATGTTGCTTTGTTAATCAATTTCCTAAACAAAAAAATTAACAGATAGGTACATAAATGAACACAAAAATAAATAACACAACATTCTAAAATCATCAAATTATATAAAAATTTAGTACAATATCAGTACTATAGTATAGAAAGTATACTTTCCACAAAATTTACTTATATGCTTTTAAACCAATTCACTGTATTGAGTTTAATGGCATTTTATTTCGGATACTTCGCACACTCGTTATTAGCTACCTATAAGAAATCCGAATAACATTCATTTCTGCTAATATATTATAAACGTTTTAATTATTATGAACACTCCAGTTGTTACGAACAAGTTACGAATCATAAATAAAGTAAGAAAGAACAATAAGCTGAAATCAGTTGAACTTGTTGATACCTACGTATTGTTGTGCTGACGCAGGAATGGTTGATGATAAAAACCCAGTGGAAAATGTTTTGATTGGCTGCCTGAAACCACGTGTACTTTTCTAACAAAATTATTTGTAAAATTTAACCCAAATTATCAGTAACCTATAAAAAATAGCAAAATTGCATTGTACCTTTTCAAAACTTTCGGTAAAAAGTTTGTTTTTATTAAAATATTTACAATCGCTGGTTTTAAACAAAGAATTTTGTTTAATTTTACAAAATGAAAGTAACAAAGTACAAACTGATATTAACAAGTCTAATTTTTTAATTGTGTATTATGTTTTATCTGCATGTTAGCATTACAGCTTAATACAAATATTTTTGATAGTGAAATTTTTAAATATATCAATTCATAATTTGCAGATAAATTTAAATTATTATACCTAATTTTTTTAACTTTATTTACCAAATTAATTTTATTTATTATTATTATTATAATTATTTATTTATTATTATTTAGACCGTACGGCAAAACCTGCAGAAGAACACTACAGAATCAATAATGAAGGTAAATTTATTAGGTCATAATTTATTATAAACTCATATACAGTGTGGCCCATTTGTTTGCGACTCAGCCCTGTAAAATCTTTATATATTTGCGATTTTAACCGGATTTGTTTTTTAATCCTTTATTATTAATAAACTGTATTTTTGAAACAAAAAAAACGCCATATATTAACAAAATACAAAGCCTAGTATGTCAGTTTTTGGAAGTAAATTTTAAAAAATTCATATTGGAGATTTAAAAAATAAGAATGCACGGCACTGGATTCACCACCCTCCAAAACGACCCTATACTAAATTTTATTGAAAGTTTTTAAATAGGAACGATTTTGTAGCCAAGTTAAAAATAAACAATATTTACTATTTACAAAAATTTATTCTGTCAAGTTATCCATGACAAAAACTTTGAAATAAAATTAAACTAATAGTAACATGGTATAAATAAAGATTTTACAGGTGTGAGTAGCAAATAAATTGGTCACACTGTATACGAATAATATATTTTTTTATTTACATATCACAATAACATAAAGGGTAATAATTAACTTCAAAAATAACTCATACCTAGGTATGCATATTTTTCCTATTTATCTTAATTTGTTATAAGATTAAATTCCACACACGAACCTGGATATGTTTCGTGATTTCCGTAGAGTGTGCTCAAACGCTAAGAATTTCTCAATTAAGAATGAAATTTTAACCGAAAACGTGAAGTAAGAAAAAATATTCGCCATGGGATCATAAAATTGATTTATTTTCTTAGCAAAAAATCGTGTTAACACGAACGGGTTCATTCACGGTACAGTCGATATTAAATAAAATTTAAATAAATAAAATCGTAAACCCTGTTGACGTCATCATATTTAATGTTGGATTTTTTTCGAAAAATCTAGCATGCTTATTTTTACATGAAAAAAAAAATTGATAATGTGAGCATAATAATTTGCCCCCCATTCGTAATCCGCCATATATGGACGACCCCTAAAATAAAATTCAATTTTTGTTTAGATGAGTCCGACATAGAAGCCAGTGACAATAATTCATATCTTGACCATATTGACGGATCTGAGTTAGTAAATTTAAAAGGTTTGGTGGAAGAAGATCCCGAAAAAATACCGACTAGTTTTGCTGCAACGAAAACAGCTGCGCAAGGTAAGTAAAATCAAGTATTACTGTACCATATACACACAACCAATCTTATGTGGAATCACCCAGTAATTACGAGAAACAGTATAAGCTCCTTATCCTAACCAACTTTATTACAAAAAAAAAAGATAAAAAATGTTAAAACAAATGTTGTATTGAACAAATAACAAAAAATGTGTAGTTCTCTAAAAATAAAATTTACGGTAAATTATAATTAAAGAAGAAATAATAGGTTTATATTAATTAATCAGTGCCACCTGCAGCTTCAATGAGTGAGTATGAGTATGAGTATAAAAAGTATGGCAGGCCCCATCGGCTACGCCTTACACTGATCTTCCAGGGTTATTTTACCGCCTTTCGGTTCTATACATATCCCGCCACTGCACAGCGTGACCTGTATTTGGTGGATGCGAATTTTCACCCCGGCAGGTAATCTTCCCTAGGAGGTCGTGGATGACAGTGACGATGGTAAAGGCCATTCCCGGAATTTTATCGCCGGGCCGACCATACGCCCGATTTAGGCTAGTGGAGTGTAGGACAAGGAGGGACAACAGTTGGTTTTTAGGGGCCTTGAATTGACCCAAAACTAAGTATAATCCGGACTCCCTTCCAACCAGGGTATTAGTAATGACCCCATTCAATTGGGGTTCATGAATGAGGCATGGATTATTAGTACTATACTTGGACATCCTTGCAGGTATTTCATCCGGGTCTGTCCGGTCTGCTGGAATTTGGAATGTGCTGCACGCAGTTGTTTGTCCCACTGGGGTGTTGTTTTTTACTTTCCCCACACTCTTATAGAAACACTGAAAATGACTCGTTATAAGTTTTGACTCATTGCGGAAAGGCAGTCGCTAATGGTTAGAGAAATTTTATTTTTATTTTTAAGTCGTACTGCCTGTGCATTAGGCTGGTTCAAAAAAATCAACTATTTTTTTTTCCTGAAATTTCGCACTGAAATATCTTCACGGTACCAAAAAAAGACGCCTGTGAAAACCGAAGCTCTTAATTTTAATATTTAGAGGTCGCGCATCGAGAATTTCTATTTCCCATTTAAATAACATGGGAAATTTTGTTTTGTTTCTAAATAATTTTCTAGCTCACAAACTAATTAACAGATTTGTATGGGCGATATATATTCTTGTGGGAAATTGAACGCTCTACAAAAAATGTCTCCTATCATTATTTGATAAACCAACTAGTTCAAAAGTTCAAAATTACTATGTTCAATAAGCCTTTTAAATTAATTCCACTGAAACACGTACTATTACTTAAAAGAATTCATTAAAAAGGATTTAAATTAATAAAAAAGGTAAATAAAATTAAATTAGGCACTTCCCTGCTGTAAATTTTTTTTATTTTATTTTAATAACCGACCGGTTTCGCCTTACGGCATCTTCAGGGTTTCTACAAGAATGGTATAAAGATATATGCTAATATAGAGATTTAAATTACTTACACGTCAATATTATAAAAATATACGTTTAACTGACATTAGAACAAGTATAACATGTATTATGGACATTACAGATATAAATATAGTTAAAACACATTAAAAATTTTTTTTTTGTTAATTAAAGCTTGAATAAAAATTAAAATTAAAATTTAGTAAAAGTTAAGGTTATGTTGTTATTATTGTTTTAGGTTAGATCATTGACTTCTTCACTCAACGCAACGGTTAGATGTTTGTATATTGATGTGTAAAACAGATTAACCTGTTCATTGAGGCATTGTATCTTATTGTTTTTCATTTGTTTGTTAATTTCGTAGGCTTCTAGCAGTGTAAGTTTATGGTTTTTTTCTTGTATGTGCAGTATTTTTTTGTTTGTTTCTGCGTTGAAAGTGTGTCCAGTGTTTGTTAAGTGTTAACTTCGAAAAATGATATGAGACATTTTTTGTAGAGCGTTCAATTTTCCACAAGAATATATATCGCGCATACAAATCTGTTAATTAGTTTGTAAGCTAGAAAATTATAAAGAAACAAAACAAAATTTCCCATGTTATTTAAATGGAAAATAAAAATTATCGATGCGCGACCTCTAAATATGAAAATTAAGAGCTCCGGTTTTCACAGGAGTCTTTTTTTGGTATCGTTAAGATATTTCAGTGCGAAAATTCAGGAAAAAAAATAGTTGATTTTTTTGAACCAGCCTACGGTGCATTCGGTATCTTTGATATATTTAATGTAGGGGTTCGTTAACCCTGTTCAACTCTTGTCTTCTTTATTGTTGATTCCTACGGATTTGTCACTTGGGAAGGTATAAACACCCGTAGGCTCGGTGAATTCTTATTTACGCAAAGTGCAAATATTAAAAAACTTATCTGAATGTGGCTCCTTGTCCCCTTCTAATTGGTCTCTTCCAGGTTTATGCCGGTTTATTTCAGGTGGGTGGTTCCGTGACTCCTACAGGTGCACCTGTGTGGCAGTTCACTTCGCGCTTTTAAACTTTTAGATTAGGTTTTTAATGCACTGTTTATGTACTTGTACATAGTTCAGAGCGGAGAGACTATCACGTCTCGACCGTGATGAGCGATGATGAGGTACTGATGGACCTCCAGCTTTAATGCAAGCATAAATTCGACGAGGCGTGTTTTCTATTAAATTATGAATTTCTTCTTTGGAAACATTTCTTCATCTCTCTAAAACTTGTTTTATTAGTTTATCTGTATTTTCAGGGCTATTTTGACATATACTCCTTCTTTTAACCTTTTAACCTCACAAGTTTCTTAATTCCATTTAGATCCGGTAAACAAGAATGCCACTCTAAAACAGTCACACTTTCCATTTCCAAACAATTTTTGGTAACTCTGCTGGTAAATGGAGGTTTATTATCCTGTATAATTCACAGAAAGCCCCTTTTCAGAGCCTAAATCCACATAGTTTGGACCTCTAGGGTTTGTCTAATAGGAATCAAAGGAATGTTTTAACCAATCATAAAGCCACCCCAAAACATTACACTTCCTCCTTTGCCTTGAGGGATCGATTGTCCAGCTCAGAGTAGCTTGTCTCCCACGACCTCTTAAAATACGAATTCACCCTTCTTCTAATCGTAGGCCAATTATGGATTTATCCGAAAATAAGACATTTCTATAAACTTTAGGGATGGGGTCAAAATGGGGTACCCATAAAATTTCGTATTTTTTTTAATTGTTTTTTTCGGTTTCTAAATCATTTGAAAATGTATTGACTCACAAGTTCACGCCTTTAATCGAAAATAATTATTCTGAGCCTGGAGAGCGAGAAAAAGAAAGGTAAAAATATAGATAACTTTTTTTCGGATTGTATGCAAATTAATTTTTTTTTATCAATTTGGGATGGTAAGAGTTGAAAAAAAAATTTTTTTTAAAGATGTTAAAATTAAAAACTTTTGACAATACCAATAATTCATACACATAACAATCATGCCAATTCACTAACAAATCGTTAACGATAGCCACTAGAATCAGTGGTTAACGGTCAATCCGACCAATCAGGTTGATTAAATATAACGATAACCACTAATTCTAGTGGCTAACGTTAACGACTCATGTTAGCGGATTGGTCTGATTATGTATATTTTTTTAATTAAATATTATTTATTTTTTAGGAATGATGGACATAGCCCTTATTACAGCAAACGCCAATCAGCTCCGATACGTTTTAGAATATGGCAAATACATACCGACATACCATTTGCTTATAGCTCTAATAGCTATTTCATTAATATTACAAGCTAGTGTTGGAGTTTGTCTGATATTTAAAGGAAGAATGGATTTTAAGGGAAATGGTAAAAATAAGAGGGCAAAAAAACTGAAGAATATAGTTGTAGTAAAGATATTTTTTATCACCATTATCAACGTGTTCATTGCTTGCTTTACGACTAGCGATAAAGTTGAACTAAATAAATACTAATTAAAAATTAGACTTTTATTTAAACAAACAATAATTACTATTACAATATTTTTTTTAAATTGTTTATTTATTTCAAATGTCAAACGAAGGTTTTTAATTATAGATAAAAAATGGACACTTTTTTGGAAGAGTTCATTGAAGAAAAATATTTTCATACTCACATTCTAGAAACTGCCAAGGAATGTAATGAAGTGTTTGAAATTAATTCTCAAGCTTCTAATTTTAAAATCATACAACTTAATATAAGAAGTGCTAGAAAAACTTAGATAAGCTTGAAATTTTTTTGGCTCAATTTAAAAATAAATTATACTATAGTATTATCAGAAAGTTTTGGCCAGATTTTTGTCGATTGGGGGGCGGCTAGAACCCACGCTACGCCACTGTATTACTATATCGTGGCGCATTCTAAATAAATATTTTGCTGCCATCAGAGTTGATAACATAATATAAAATAAGTGTCCTCTTTTTAGAGTGTACTTTATGGGTAACTATATATAGATAAAAGCCTTATTTAAATTAAGTCAAAACATAGAGTAATCTTTTTTAACTAATACAAATGTTGTATTAGTTAAACCTAGATAATTTGATTTTTTTGCATAATACGATCGTTTATCATACTTTGATGTCAATTTGGAGACGATGTTGTTCCTAGGGAAGAAAGCGGAATGTAATGCAGTAAACCGCATACTTCAGTTCTTATTTTCTCGCGAAAAAAAAACGAAAAATCGCTGCGTTGTAGAAAGATTTATGTTGTAGTGCCATTAATGGAAAATGGAGCATAAATTGTATTTTTTATGAGCTCACTCGACTTGTTGAACACGTTTTTGGTAGGATGCTGAAGTGCTCGCATCATTTGAATAATAAATGATAACGCAACAAGACCGTTTTAGGTTTTTTATTCTTTTTGAATTTAATACTGTGCTGGTGATCATAAATCCGGACTGATCCTTCTAATTCAGTAATAATTAAGTAATATGTAACTCGCTCTGAATTTTTCTACAAAGAGAAACATTTCTAAAGTGCATACACTGTTTGTACACTGTTCAAAATTTCATGACCATTTTAACACCAAATTAACACCATACATGATATATCTCTACAAACCAAAATGGTGTTAAATATGGTTCGTTGTTCCAGTGTAAATTCAAATACTAAAATAGTTTAAATTTCACACTGTATTATTCAGTGTTAAATATTATGTGTTTTTGGTCAAATTAAATCATACTACACAGAAAAAAAAAGAAAAAAAAAGGAAACAGGAAGTTCCTTGACGCATTACTGGTATATTACCAGTGGTATTATAATAAATATCCGAAGGTATTATTCCAGAAAATTGAACCTTCAACTCGCTGGAGATAATGTTTTTAGTGCGTTCCACTAACTTAAAATACTTTAAGTATTAACAGCTGTTTCCACCTATTTAAGGTATCTTTAGTATCGAACAACTTGTATACAAGTATAGTGTCACACCAAAGCAAAGGACTACCTGAGCTTATATACTCTTCATGTAAGTCAACAGAGGCGAGATTTAAGAACATCACGTGTGCAACCGGAAATGCATGGCAAATTGTTTTAATCGTTTTAACAGAGTGCTTTAGATTGATGTAACTCTTATTTTACAAACAACATATTTAGTAAACTGAACCATTCAGCGGGTTGGTTTCACTAAAGTTTTCTGGGTTAATTTAACCAATTTAAAAAAAATAAAAATAACTATCTGGTTTAGTACCGTCTAATTAATCTTTGTTTATATTAACCTTCCCACAGTTGATTTAAATAAATACTTATGGGTCAACTAAATTAATATAGTTAAATTAACTATTCCTTTTTTCTGTGTAGGAGCACTTCTCAAATAATTTTAGATAAACAGCGTTTTGGTGTTTGCTGTATATAACCATTGAGTAAAGTGTTTTACTTTACTCAATGATATAACATTTTCAACCATAATTTATGGTGTTTATATTAACACCACTTGGTGTTGGATTTAGACACCATTTTAAGATTACCCTTTAAACCACAGATATTTTAAACAGTGTATAGCACTGTTTAATTGTTTTTTAACCTTTATTAGGACAACAATCAGTTATAACCTTGGGTTGAAAATTTCTCAGGATATGTAAGGGGAATCAGTATAACCACAAAAATATTCTCCACTAAGCAACCCCTAAAGCTGTATCCACCCCAACTCATTTTTTAATATCAACGCCCTCTTTTTGATATCTCATTGGAAATCTATAAAAATTGCTATTTTATAGTCAGGGCCGTGTGGTAGATTTTTTCAGTATGATGCAAGTTTTCGAAATGCCGCCCTTAACTGATGCTATTGAAATGTTTTCTCTTTAATAACCTGGATTGGGATTCACAAGAAAACTGCACAAAATGTATGGAAACTATTTTTATTTTGAAAAAAAAAACATACCTACATATAAACTACCTCTAACAATAATATTAAGTGTCATCTAAAACAGGACTTTACTATAATTTTACCCCTCTAACTTTTATTTTAGCAAATTCGTTAATTAAAGATGTAATCAAGAGTGACAGCTAATGTAGATTCAATAGATATTATTGATAGATTTTTAAGTTTTGTTTGGCTCATTGAATTTCTTAAGTAGTTTTTTATTAGTTTTAATTTTGAAAAACTTCTTTCCCCAGTAGCTACAGATACAGGGAGTGTTAATAAAATTCGCAAAGCTATAAAAGTGTTCGGATACAAAGTATTTAAGTTATTTTGGCACAAGTAATTCAAAACATCTAAAGGTTTCATAGAATAATTCAGCATCAAGGATACATCACGTAGTTCTTCTCTTCAAAGACTGCTAGCGTATTGAGTTTTCAAATCAAGAGATTGATACTCTTTTAGATTTATGATCGTAGTGAGAATGTGGAGAGAGTTGCTTGATCCACCTACTACCAATTTACAATATTATTGGTATCTGTATAGGAGATAACCAGCGCAGTATTCTGGTTATCTTACCTGCGAGCTATCTGTTTCCACAGTAGCCCCTGGTGTCTTAATATGGCTCAGCGTTGGCATCCGCCGCGGCGCCCGATATGAGCCGTGACCCGTCTGCCAAACCTTTTCTGGTGGGGGCAGTCCGTCCAATCTTATGACATAATATATATATAGCCTATGCGCAGATAGGGATTGTGGTATTCGACATAGTGTCTAGTACCCAATCTTACAAAGGTGCTTATGTACTAATATTGTCGGCATCACCTTGGGTGATGGTTCTTTCGCATCAAGTCCGGTGTTCAAGCGTTCCGTCCGACATATGATCACCTATGCCGGCCGGCACGCATGTGCACCGACCTTGGTCGATGTCTGCATCGCTCTTATCTGACTTATGTTTACTATGGTATCTAATTCTCTAGTATAGAGGCCGCAGCGCTTGACTTAGAGTCTCACGCCCAATCTAATTATGGCTATCTATGTTATAGACTCCACAAGGAGTCTGCGGAGCAATGGTTTCGTCCCCCAGGGACTGGTGTGCATGCACACCAGTTTGGTTCGTTCGGCCCCGTTACTCTCTGCCCTATCTCTTATATGGGTATTTTAAAATAAGATATGGGGGAGGTTTAACCGCTTTTTACAAGGGTGTTTAGCTGGGGTAGCATAGCATTTAGAAATGCCTTGAATAAGACAAAAAGTTTGTCTGTGTCTAAGTTTAGGGGGGCTTCAGTCGCTACCGGAGTTTGGGGCAAAATATTGGCATTGTTTTGTCCTTTAGCTAAACTGGCGTAGGAAATATCTGTGGACACTTTCTTGGCCGCAGGGAAGTTACGGGCAGAAGGTTGTGTTCCTGTGGAAGTAGGGGTGGCCTTAGGGGCTTGAATATGGGTGGGTTTTGGGAATTTTGGACATCCCCGGTAGCTGGCTGGGTGAGAACCACCGCAGTTTGCACATACGGCGGGAGTATCGCGGGATTTTTGTCATTCTTTGGCGAGATGCCCTTCGCCACAGCGAACGCATTTAGGTGGCGTAGTTCTTCTTGGAGGTCATTTGCATTTATATCTCTAAATTTTTTATCCTGCTAGCCAGGGATACACACTAACGCCCTCTACAAATTTACGGCTGAAGCTGAGGAATCCAAAGTTTAAAGTATTAAAGTCGGTCGGTATAGTATGTATAAGTGTATGTATCTTGGTATAGTAGGAATAACATACCGACACGTCGCGTCGTGTATTTAGGGTATTTCTACTATACCGACGGTAACCGACCAAACTTTGAGTTATATTATTATTATTATTATTATTTACAGTTCGTGCAGTTTGTTTATTATCTCTGAGTTCCTGTTTGCTTCCACCAATTTTGTTAGTGGATAGATACCCGACTTTTTATCAACAAATGTAAGTTAGTTCGAATCCTAGAGTAACTCTGTTTTAATTGTCTCTCGTAACAAAATCTAGAACGATTATTTTAAACCCGTATTTTTGATGCTGGTAACCCTTAATCCAAGAAATGGCAGGTGGTAACCCTAAAAACGTCCGATGTGGCACTAATATACCTATCCCATTCAATTCCATTACAGGGTGAGTTTTTTAACTTGAAACTTTAAAATATCTCGTGTAATAAGCACTGTCGAAAAAACTATATAAACTAAATTTAATCATTCCGGGGGGGATATATTAGTGCTAAAATTAGTAGTGTGCTCTCCCTGTATATAAAATGTGACTGAGTTTTATAAATAAATTGACTAAAAAACTATTCCAATTTTATTTTGTCCTCCTCTCCCGCAACCCCTAAGGAAAAGAACACCCACACTTCCCATCAGTGGCGGCTGGTGGATTTTGGGTATACCGATATCTCAATTATTAGATATATCCCATATATGGGACCCACACCAAATAAATATACGTAATATAAATTTAATTGGTGCAATTTATTATTTACCATAGTTTATCGACAAATTTCAAATTTTATTTAAAAAATTCAAATAATACAAATTTTTTATCATTTTAAATTTTTATTATTTCTTTGAAAAGAAATATTAAAAATT